CCTTATCAGTCAAAAGGGCAGTGTTACCTTAAAAATACAGAACCAACACACACCACAGCCACAGCAGGGAGGGGGTTTTTAAGGATTTCATGCACCCCACTCGCTTCATTTTTCCCCGGCCATTTCAGTCGCCCGAGAACGGAAATGCGGATCCAAACACCCACTCACTTCGTGCTAATAGCACATCTCAACGAGCTCTCTCTCAACCACTCTCACAATCAGGACACACTCACACAGTTCAACACCATACACCAGGATTTTGCCTTTACAAGTGCTAGTCCCACAATGCTAGCAAACAAAGCCCTCTATGGCACAACAAATGGCAAAATCTACTGCCAGCAACTACAGATAGCCCTTTCGGCTCATTATAACGAGATTCTCTGCTGGCAACCAAGTACAACCAAATACCAAACAAGTCTTGCAAGCACACAGAGGCACAAGTTGTGCATGGGACGTCTCCCACGACTCACCAATGGCCTTACCTGACCACACGTACACATTACAGGTCACAACTTAAATTGTTTCAATTTTTAAACATACCCTTTTGTCCCGAGTTTTGGAAGTCAGGAGTCCTTGTCTGCTGCTGGATGAACAGTACGGGCAACGGAGCCCTCGCTTCCAGGAATATGCCGGGGGCGCCCCGAGGGGTCCACTACCCGGGCTGCTCTCACAGCCGAGCAGAGCCTCCTCCTGGCCTGGCTCGCCAAATGAATCATTAAAAAAACGGGATAATCACGGACAAACACAGTCTAACTAATTAAAGTTAGAAAGTGGCATGTTTCTTCACTGGCGGGCGGCACGGGAGTCACCTCCTAAAGGCTTGACCGCCCCGAACAAGGTTCTTTGCCATCTATTTATTCCCCAAGATCTCACATACAATACATATGCATAACCCCAGCACCTCCCATCCCCACCCCATATTAAAATGAGCCCATCAGTCCTTCACGCATGCGCAGTTCTTCTCTTGAATTGGGCCGGTGCTCTCGAAATGGGTCAGTGGTCTCAAAAGATGAAGTCAGGAGAGTCTTCATCAGGTCTCGGTGACCCTCTGGCACGATCCAAGGCCCCGTGCTTCATGGTTAACGGTTTACTTATTTTACGTTCTTCTGTATGTAAATTTATAATAGCAGATAATTATATCAATTAGCTCTAGCCTAAGCATTTAGTAAATATTAACCTACCATTTACCTACCTAACTTACATCTTGGTCATGGAAACTACTTCTACCCTTAGCAAAAATCTTAACTTTTTAAACCATGATTCATTCCCCAATCCTTCTTCAAAGTTAGTAAATTCTTTTACTAATAACAATGCTTTGGTTACTTTACATGCTTTGACAGTTTTGGTAGGGAAAGTTTCTGGCCACGCTGAAAAGTTACCTATTAATACCAAGAGGTATTGGTACCCCCCTCTACTGGGTAGTTCTGAAGAATCAATTTGCCATTGTTGCCCAGACCCATCGCCTTTTTCAATTTGTCTAGGCTTTGGTTTAGGAATACTCTTGGGATTAGTTTGGAGGCAAGGCTACATTGGTGAGTCACCTGAATTACTGCACCTTTCAAGTTTCTGGCCATGCATGGATCTTTCAAATAGTTGTACAGAGCATCAATTCCACAATGTGTTTTCTCATGTTCTTTTTTCACTAATAACCATAACATGTAAGAGGGGATCACAAGCCTTCTTTTTCCTTTGGAATAGCCCACCCCTCTTGGTTATAACTCCCGTTTTCTTCTCTAATGAGCTTTTTGTCCCTTTTTTTGTATCTTGGCTTATCTTCCTGTCCTAGGGTGATGTTATGGTGTTTGTATCTCCAGTCGTGTGTTCTGATTATGTTTGGTATTATGTCCTGTGCTTCCAGGACTGACTCTGAAAGTGAAGCTTTGTTTTGTCTTGTTATCAGCCGGCTCACCTTCCCCATGGTCTTTGTTTAGGAGAGGTTTTA